GTTTTTGCTGGCTGTAGCAGCGCTATAGCGCTGCTATAGCGTTGCACAGCAAAAACGCATAAAAATAGAGAAAAAACTTCATTACATTGTTCGTTCGAGAGAATTTTCTTAGCAAAATTTCCGGGGCAAGTTTTACAGAAAAATTTCGCCACCTATGGCTTGCTCCTTTTAAAAAAATGATCAAAAAAATAAGCGTTTGTGGATAAAACTGATATAACCGGTAAAAGGTGCAGTGGACTAAAAAATCTGGAGCAAAACTTTAGCTTCAAAACATTTTTTGACATTTTTGGTTCGAAAGCGCGGAAAAGCAAATGGATTAACCTTTTGACATGCAGCAATTTGGAGGAGGAGAAGATGGGCCAAGCGTTTAGCACCTGCTGCGATCCAATGGATAATTATGGGTTAACCCGGGGCCATCAATGTGTCATTTATGAATGAATCCTATTTATCGGAGCTGTCGGTTGGGCGCTAATTACCGGAAAATGCTAAGCAATCGCAAATAAGAAATCGAAAAACTGCACCATATGGGACGGCAAGGACGCTGGCCAATTTAGCAATTTTCCATGGAAGAAGTCGTCTACGGATTTACCGCAAAAAATGACATTTCATTCTTTGGATGACTAAATTCTTTCATTTCCGTCACTATTCATCTTCCAGATTATTTTGAACTTGGAATTAGGCTTAGTTAGCTGAAAATATCCTTGCTTAACTAGCCCAAAACATCCGCCTCCCACTGTCCATTTAATTACACTTATACGTTTAATCAATCACATTACTTTCAACTAATTATTTGTCACGCTTATTTTATCTATCTTTTCCATACATGGCGAATTGGAGGCTGTACTGATAATTCCCACTTCAACTCGCATCAGATTCTTTGTCTCTGTGTTTGCAGCTAAGGGATGAAACAGACTGCAAAATTACGTGCACCTTACGATATGTAATTTTCCTGCTACCTTCCCAGGCATAAATTTACCTGCTCATAGGCAAAACGCTATTACAAAAAGAAGACGGAAGAAGAAGAAACACGAGTTATGTAAATGAAACTTAAAAATTTTATCAGTTGCAATCCATTTTGCTTAGCGAATAATTTACTGAAGTCCGTGAAAAACTGGAAAGGGTGCTAGAGAGCGGAATATTCAGGCTACGTATGGTGTCGTTATAGAGGGGATACCAGTAGAATCAGGCTGAACAATATTCACTTTCAATAACAGTGCAAAGATACCCAGCTGTACAGACAAAGCGATGCAATGGCAGCTGATCAAAGTTTGGTGAAAGAGCAAAAGTTTTAACTTTTTTTTTGAAATATTTCCTCCCCGCTTTTTCGCTAAACTGGCACATCTGAGTGAGTCTCAGGGTTTAGAACTCTGCTAGAATGAACCGGTGTATGTTGTATGTTATAAAGAATGGACATCAAGATTGCAGTGATAAAAAAACACAAAAAAAGGCCAGGATGACCAATGCCTCGTCATTTAATCCCCGGAAAAAACGAAAAAAACCAAGATGCTTCGTCATACAATTTTTTAAGGACTCATTATTCGAATAGCTTGAATGCTCGCTGTATTTCCGTAAATCCTGTAAATTTTTCAGTTCTCGCAACCGCGCCGAACAAAAATCAGGATTTCTTTCAAATTCAACTCGCACGAAGTAAAAAAGCTTGGAAGCAGCCAACTAGTAGCATACTATAAAAGTAACAATCTGTTGGGAGCCGCTCGGAATTTCTGTTCTGAGTACTGCTTAGAAGCAAACTGATGGCGTTTTGTCTCCGTGGTATGCATCATTTCTAAGACAAATGATCGAATCACAGGAAAACAGACTTCCCTACCAGGAAATCTACCGCCGAATTTAGGCTGGGAGTCAAAAAAGTTTGTTTTTGCGAACATTCGAAGAGCCGACCCTCAAGAGTTTCCCTCAAAATTCTATGCCATTAACTTGGCTGATGCTGACTGTGCTATCCAGACAAAATCTGCTGTTGACTTTAAATTTGATAGAAGCATTAAATGCACAAAATTAAACAAATCCAAGTTTTATAAAAAAATTTAGATCGATAAAATAAATGTTAACAAAGCAAGTGCAAATGCTTAGCCTCATGAAATTACAGAATCGAAGCCTCGCGCCCTCGACTGCCTGCAAGAAAGAGCTTTTTTCTTTGCAGCTATTGTTCCTTTCAAAATATAATAACTCAAAATTCAACTCAGAAAAGCAAAAATCCCACAGAAGGAACCGATATGAAACTACAGCATTAAAAATGACACAATGATAATTCACATCTGAATTCCCAAACATTCATGTGCACACAGAAATATACGCACATGTATAAGCACTGGTACATG